CCCTACACCCCCCTACACCCCACCCCCTACACCCCCCCTACAACCCCCCCTACACCCCCCTACACCCCCCCTACACCCCCCTACACCCTACCCCCTACACCCCCTACACCCCCTCCTCCAAGAAGGACGAATTCCTCTTTCCCAGCACGCGCGCGAGATCATCGGCATCATCATCAACATCATCATCAACATCATCATCAACATCATCATCAACATCATCATCAGCAGCAGCATCATCATCAGCATCATCATCATTATCAACATCATCATCAGCATCATCGACATCATCGACATCATCATCACCATCAGCATCATCAGCATCATCATCATCATCAGCATCATCAGCATCATCATCATCAGCATCATCATCATCAGCATCATCGTCATCAGCATCATCATCACCCACATCATCATCACCATTGGCATCATCACCATCGCCACCATCACCATCGGCATCATCATCAGCATCATCAGCATCATCATCATCAGGCCACGACCGCTCCACTGCTGGATGAACGCCACGATGACGAAGGGCTGGCGGGGGAGGGGGGGGCAAATGTCGTGCCGAGCGGCTGAGCGCGAGAAGCGTGGAGCGAAGTTGTTGTCGATGTCGCCTCCCCTCTCTCGATGGGGACATCGCGACATCATCGTGCGCTCACGTGAAGTGCACCGGGCAGTGAGGCGATGTTCATGTGAAAGCCGTGCCGCTGGAGTGTTAAGTCTATGGGCAGTGTTGAGTCTATGGGTAGTGTTGAGTCTATAGGTAGTGTTAGTCTATGGGTAGTGTTGAGTCTATGGGAAGTGTTGAGTTTATGGGCAGTGTTGAGTCTATGGGTAGTGTTGAGTCTATGGGTAGTGTTAGTCTATGGATAGTGTTGAGTCTATGGGAAGTGTTGAGTCTATGGGTAGTGTTAGTCTATGGGTAGTGTTAGTCTATGGGTAGTGTTGAGTCTATGGGAAGTGTTGAGTTTATGGGCAGTGTTGAGTCTATGGGTAGTGTTGAGTCTATGGGTAGTGTTAGTCTATGGATAGTGTTGGGTCTATGGGCAGTGTTGAGTCTATGGGCAGTGTTGAGTCTATGGGTAGTGTTGAGTCAATGGGTAGTGTTGAGTCTATGGATAGTGTTGGGTCTATGGGCAGTGTTGAGACTATGGGCAGTGTTGAGTCTATGGGCAGTGTTGAGTCTATGGGTAGTGTTGAGTCTATGGGTAGTGTTAGTCTATGGGCAGTGTTGGGTCTATGGGCAGTGGGCAGTGTTGAGTCTATGGGTAGTGTTGAGTCTATGGATAGTGTTGGGTCTATGGGTAGTGTTGAGTCTATGGGCAGTGTTGAGTCTATGGGTAATGTTGAGTCTATGGGTAGTGTTGAGTCTATGGGTAGTGTTGAGTCTATGGGTAGTGTTAGTCTATGGGCAGTGTTGAGTCTATGGGTAGTGTTAGTCTATGGGTAGTGTTGAGTCTATAGGCAGTGTTGAGTCTATGGGTAGTGTTGAGTCTATGGGTAGTGTTAGTCTATGGGCAGTGTTGAGTCTATGGGCAGTGTTGAGTCTATGGGTAGTGTTGAGTCTATGGGTAGTGTTGAGTCTATGGGTAGTGTTGAGTCTATGGGGCAGTGTTGAGTCTATGGGCAGTGTTGAGTCTATGGGTAGTGTTGAGTCTATGGGTAGTGTTAGTCTATGGGCAGTGTTGGGTCTATGGGCAGTATTTAGTCTATGGGCAGTGTTGAGTCTATGGGTAGTGTGGAGTCTATGGGTAGTGTTAGTCTATGGGTAGTGTTGGGTCTATGTGTAGTGTTGAGTCTATGGGTAGTGTGGAGTCTATGGGCAGTGTTGGGTCTATGGGCAGTGTTTAGTCTATGGGCAGTGTTGAGTCTATGGGTAGTGTTAGTCTATGGGCAGTGTTAGTCTATGCACTGTCCTTTTGCCATGTGAGACTAGGCTCTAAAGAAAGCTGCCTCTGGTGTGGACTAATCGGTTTCAAAGACCAGGCATAAATTACACTGGTCAACACACTTTTTCTGACATAAGGTATTCCAACGGTTTTAAGGCATCAGATATTGCATCTTCAACAAAAACTGCAGAAGAAAAATATTAAATAAATGTGGATATCTACACAAAATGATATTATAAACACACTATCCTAAAAATACAGCACCATATTTTAACACTAAAGCAGTCACTGACTCGCAACAACTTGCAATCATAAGTGACAGAGTTAATTTCGGGTAAAATCAATGAAAATGGGGTATGCCGATAGCATAAAAATGAGATGTGATAGAGCAAATCTGAGATCAGATTTTTCGAATCAGCACCCTGAAATTAGTCTAAAACAGCTGCAAAAGTCCAGGCCAGAATTTTTTTTTTGACCAGTGTTATCAGAGCATGGATGTTTGCATGTTTTGCCACGAGAAACATGGTGTGGTTCATGCAGTACTTCTGATGGTGCCTTGCCAAAAAGTGTCTCTATTTAGTGTTGGAACATCTGAACACAACTCCTGTTTTGTTGCCACGAAGCATTAAACGTTTTCTTATTTTTCAGACTTTGATACCGGCAAAAAGTTGCCCCATGATGTAGCTACCCATCCCGAGCTGTTCGTCTTTCATAGCTGTTCTGTGGTCTGACACTGGTGGTGAGACGAGGCTATGATGATGAAAGTTGCTGTGTCTGGTGTAGAACAATCAGTGTCGAAGACATTGCGTCCATTATGAGCAGAACCACGTGTTCGTTTACCGTGTGCGGTTAACGCAGACTTTGATTGTGCCTTGCCACAAACACATTCCTGCGGAGGGAGCTGGTAGGAACGTCGGGTTGCTCGGTCAATGGCCTGCAGGGTTAACGGCGGCGTGGTGTATTCCGCAAATATGCCCGACTGTGAGGGCAGGCACAAGCCGGCGTGAGTAGGTTAAACGTTGAGTTTTATAAGGGCACCACGGGGTGACCAGCCCCTCCCCTCCCCACCCAGCCCCACCCCTCCCACCCCCCACCCAGCCCCTCCCCACCCTCCTCACCTAGCCCCTCCCCACCCTCCCCTCCCCACCCAGCCCCACCCCTCCCACCCCCCCACCCAGCCCCACCCTCCCCACCCTCCCCACCCAGCCCCTCCCCACCCTCCCCTCTCCACCCAGCCCCTCCCCACCCTCCCCTCCCCATCCAGCTCCACCCTTCCCACCCAGCCCCTTTCCACCCAGCCCCTCCCCACCCAGCCCCACCCTCCCCACCCAGCCCCTCCCTGCACGACGGACACAATCATCCCCTGTGGGCCGGTGTAACCAGGCAGGTTCCTACCGGTAAAAAGTTGATCTATTTGGCGTTTGAACATCTTAAAACGACACCTGTTCGATTGCCAGCGACGGGGTAAAAACACCCTCGTCGCAACGACGCCGGCGGTATTTCCCGAGTGTATGAAAGCCCCACGCAATGTTGTGTTGATGTTCTCGTGAAATTCTTCGTCGTGCAGATTCCCGAAGAGATCGTCGTCTCAGCCTGTCGGATCGGTTCAGCGATGGCCTCGTTGATCTGCGATTGCCACGACCGATTTCTCCTGCTGCTCCTGCTGCTGCTGCTGCTGCTCCTGCTGCTGCTGCTCCTCCTGCTGCTGCTGCTCCTGCTGCTGCTTCTCGCATGCATCAGCCTCAATGTGACCCCCCCCCCACTCCCATCTCTGGCGAATCTCTCTCTCCCTTTCCGGCGTTACCGTGCAGGGCACAGAGGGGGGAGGGGGGCACGGGGAGACCGCCGGGTCTCGTTTGGCTGAACAGGCAGGAACTCTGACGCCACTGATACATTCCGTGAGATGCACGCAGACACACACACAGAGTGACACACACACAGTGACACAGACACACAGACACACACAGACACACACACACACAGTGACACACACACAGAGTGACACACACACAGACACACACACACAGACACACACACACAGACACACACACACAGACACACATACACAGCCACAGACAAAGGTCCCCCGTATAGCCTGTAACAGGCTGTAGGGGCAAGTGCTGTTAGCGAGCACCTATGAAAGCCGGAACGGCACACGAGGGGGGTGGGTAACCAGCACCACGCCCGACCGCCTTTGTCTCCCCAGTGGCGATGTTTACACGCCGGTTCTGGGCCTCCCCTAGGTCGACTCAGCCTCAAATTAGCACCTAGTGCGGTGTGTAAAGATCGCCACTGGGGAGACAAAGGCGGTCGGGCGTGGTGCTGGCCACCCACCCCTCGTGTGCCGTGCCGGCCTTCATAGGTGCTCGCTAACAGCACTTGCCCCTACAGCCTGTTACAGGCTACACGGGGGATCTTTGTCTGTGCGAGTGTGTGTGAGTGTGTGTGAGTGTGTGTGAGTGTGTGTGTGTACCCCATGCTGTGCCTGTGACCTCAAGACGTGACACAGTGTGGAAGTGATTATAGGGAATGTTTGGTTTGGGTTGGTGGTGGCGGTGGTGGTGGTGGTGGGGGGGGCCGTGTTAGAGAGGGGGGGGGGGTCAAGTAAAGGAGGAGGAGGGGGGAGGGGCGGTGGGGCAGGTGGAAGTCCGCGTGTGTCTCTGCAAGTGAAGAGCGGTGGCGCCGCGGTTAGCGCCGATGCAATTCCGAACCCACCCACCCCCCCGGTTGGATTCTGGCTCACGGCCACCACCAACAACCGACCTGAAGACCATCGCCTGAACGGGTCCCACAGTGGGGATGAACGATTAATCGATTTCAAATCGATTAATCGATTTCGAATCGATCGATTTAAAATCGATTTCAAATCGATTAATCACAATTTGAAACAATGCGATGAGCTAATCGCAAAGGCTGCGAATTTTGTTGAGCGATTTGAAAAGTCCCATTACTTTTTTATTGGGATTGTTTATTTTTTTACGAATATAACTTTATCGATTTCACTGAATAATTGTTCTACGTTTGATTGTTCTGTTTCAATTAAGACATTTTAATAAGTACATGTTGGAAGTTCATCTTCTTGGTTCTTTCGGTAAAGTCACGTAGAAAGGAAATAATAAAATAATAAAATTAAACAATAAAAAAATAATAAAAATAAAACAATAAAAAATACAAATAAAACATAATAAAATACAATTCTCAACACGTTTCGGCCACAACGCAAGCAGCCGTCCTCAGGTGAAGAACAGGTCTGTCAGACGCTGTCTTTCCGACAGCCCTGTTCTTCACCTGAGGACGGCTGCTTGCGTTGTGGCCGAAACGTCGTGAAAATTATTTTATGTTTTATTTTTATTATTTTCTTATTTCCCTTCTACGTGACTTTACCGAAAGAACCAAGAAGATGAATCCCTGCAGTCACGAAAGAAGCTTTAAATCGAAATGTTGGAAGCAATTAATATATTTTAAGTTATCATGCTTGCATTAGACTTTATAGAGCAGTTCATATTGTGATGGTATCACGTGGTAATGCTCCATCACATGTTTAAATCTATTACACGAACTAAGCTTGACTTTAAAAAAAATAATTGCAAATCAAATCTCGATCGCAATATCTGTCAGAGAAATCGCAAATCGATATTTTCCCAAAATCACTCAGCCCTAGTCCCTGGGGCCTCCTCTAGGTCGACTCAGCCTCAAATTAGTACCTGGTGCGGTGTGTAGTAAACATCGCCACTGGGGAGACAAAGGCGGCCGGGCGTGGTGCTGGCCACCCACCCCCTCGTGTGCCGTGCCGGCCTTCAAAGGTGCTGCTCGCTAACAGCACTTGCCCCTACAGTCTGTTAAAGCTACACGGGGGATCTTTGTCTTTGTCTGGTTAGCGCGCTCCGATACGAACCTAAGTGAGTGTGTTGTGTACACGGTGCGTGTGTGTGTGTGCATGTGTGTGTACATCTGTGTGTGTGTATGTGTGTACATCTCTGTGTGTGCATGTGTGTGTGTACATCTGTGTGTGTGTATGTGTGTACATCTCTGTGTGTGTACATCTGTGTGTGTACATCTGTGTGTGTGTGTACATCTGTGTGTGTACATCTGTGTGTGTGTACATCTCTGTGTGTGCATGTGTGTGTGTACATCTGTGTGTGTGTACATCTCTGTGTGTGCATGTGTGTGTGTACATCTGTGTGTGTGTACATCTGTGTGTGTACATCTGTGTGAGTGTATGCAAGTGTGTAAGTATGAGTGTGCAAGTGTGTTGTGTACACGGTGCGTGTGTGTAGGCGCACGCGTGTGCAAGTGTATACGTGTGTGAGTGGCGCGCCTGCGTGTGTGTAAGTAAGTGTGTGTGTGTGTAAGTGTGTGTGTATGCAAGTGTGTAAGTATGAGTGTGCAAGTGTGTTGTGTATACGCTGCGTGTGTGTAGGCGCACGCGTGTGCAAGTGTATACGTGTGTGAGTGGCGCGCCTGCGTGTGTGTAAGTAAGAGTGTGTGTGTGTAAGTGTGTGCGTGTGTAAGTGTGTAAGTGTGTTGTGTACACGGTGCGTGTGTGTAGGCGCACGCGTGTGCAAGTGTATACGTGTGTGAGTGGCGCGCGTGTGTGTGTGTAAGTAAGAGTGTGTGTGTGAGTGTGTAAGTGTGAGTGTGTAAGTGTGAGTGTGTAAGTGTAAGTGTGTAAGTGTAAGTGTGTAAGTGTGAGTGTGCAAGTGTATGCGTGTGTGAGTGGCGCGCCTGCGCCTGCGTGTGTGTGTAAGTAAGAGTGTCTGTGTGTGTAAGTGTGTAAGTGTGAGTGTGTAAGTGTGTGTGTGTAAGTGTGTAAGTGTGAGTGTGTAAGTGTGAGTGTGTGTAGGTGCACCCGTGTGCAAGTGTATACGTGTGTGAGTGGCGCGCCTGCGCCTGCGTGTGTGTGTGTAAGTGTGTGTGTGTGTAAGTGTGTGTGTATGTGTAAGTGTGTAAGTGTGAGTGTGTAAGACTACCCCACACCAGATGTGCGCCGGCTCCAGCGTGGCGGCTCGGAGGCTCCAGGAACAGCCAACAAAGGAGCAATCAATCGTGACCCCACGGCTCCCACACACGCACACACTTACATACACACATACACATACACACACATACACACACACATACACACACATACATACACACATACACTTACACACACACTTACACACACACACTCTTACACACACACACTTACACACGCACATACACACACGCACACACTTACATACACACATACACACACACTTACACACACACATATACACTTACACACACACATATACACACACACTTACATACACACATACACACACACACATACACACACTTACATACACACACACACACTTACATACACACACACACACACTTACATACACACACGCACACACTTACATACACACACGCACACACTTACATGCACACACGCACACACTTACATACACACACGCACACACTTACATACACACACGCACACACTTACATACACATACACACACACTTAGATACACACACGCACACACTTACAT